CAAAATTATTCAAGGACATTTCTCATAGAAGCTAAAAATGATCTATTACTGCTCCTAGGCACACTCTCAATAATTTCAGAACACCATTTGGAAAATGGACCTAATCTCATGAAAAATAGCCTCTTACTCTAGCCCACCGAACTGCACATGGTTTTCTCTTGGTTCTGCGTCTTTGGGGCTTTGCTGGTGGCTCAGCGGTAAAGAATCCACCTGCCAGTGCAGCAGACCTGGGTTCTATCCCTTAGTGGGGAAGATCTGCTGGGAAAGGGAATAGCAAACCTCTCCAGCATTCTTGCCTGGGGAATCCCAGGGACAGCGGGGCCTGACGGGCTATGGCTCATGGACCCCATGGGCGACTAAAACAACACCAGTGCTGCTTCTGCTGTTAGGCAGTGAGTGCACGCCAGGCCACTTCAGTCTGCCCCGCTCTTTCATGGCTCTGTGGGCTGTGGCCCACCACGCTCCCCTGTCCATGGGGTTCTCCAGCAAGAGTCCTGGAGTGGGTGGCCCTGCCCTCCTCCAGGGGATCTTCCTGACCCGGGGATCGAACCCATGTCTCTTACGTCTTCTGCATTGGCAGACGGGCTCTTTACCACTGGCACCACTTGGGAAGCCCATTAAGCAGTAGGTTTTGCATTTATATACTTAAATGAGAAGCAGGTTGTCTATCAGCTGTTGTCCCTGGATGTGTGGATTGCTCCGGTGTCCAACCACGCAGATCGTAAATCCACAGTCCAGCTCTCCGCTTTACCACTTTGCGCTTATCCCAAAATAAATATATAAATGAATAAGCCTACTGCAGAGTTGCCTTTCACACCTTCATTTTTCTCTGCCCAGTAAAAAGCCGATGAAAATACATTCTTCGTAACGTTCCATTCATTTCCAAATGTGCGAGTTCTCAAATATGTTATAAATGAGAAGAAAAGAAAGGGCTGGGTTGTTTGTCAAGCTGTCATATTCTTTTATTTATTGTCTCTTGTCAATAGGAAAGTCCAGAAGTGTATTGAGATAAAAATGGAAGTACATGTAAAGATAACAGTGTAAATGGGACATACCGCCGTGTTTCCTCCCATTCTTCTTTCCTCCCTACTGTTGGACAGTGAACAAGAACTGAGCCAGCTGGAATAGACTCGTCCGGAGGGAGCAGGGAGAGCCTCTGTGATGGGGTTTCTCCCCATTACATGCCCCCTCTCCATCCTACACTGCACCGCCCAGCGCCTTCGCGGTTGTGACTGGGTTCTGGCTAACAATCGAGTCCACGGTGTTTGAGAGGACAGGAAAACTTTCTTAGCGCCACACACAACAGATTATCAACCCAGAAACTTACACAGCCACCTCACCTGTTCAGGGGCTGAGTGAGGAGAAACTAAAAAGTGAGTCTGGGGAAAGTAAAAGGTGGGAGGAACTTTCAATTTAGTGAACATGATTTTTCCAATCAGCACAAAATTCATGCTGTTTATTTCAGTTTTCAGAATGAAGTGCATGTTAAAATTGCCCAGGTTCTGCCTTGAGAAACTCACCTCTTAGAATACCAGGAAACGATCTGATTTGCCTGCCGCACATACACCATTTATTGCAGTACATGTTAACAAAAAAAGAATAATAATAATTTCTATGGGTTCTTGGAGATTATATATATTATATATATACACATATATGGGGCTTCCCAGGTGGCACTGGTGGTAGAGAGTCTTCCTGCCAGTGCAGGAGATGCAAGAGACATGGGTTTGATCTCTGGGTCGGGACCATCCCCTGGAGAAGGAAGTATTAACCCACTCCAGTTTTCTTTCCTGGAGAATCCCATGGACAGAGGAGCGTGGCAGGCTACAGTCCATGGTGTTGCAAAGAGTCAGACATGACTGAGCATCTGAGCATACATACATGTACACATATATATACACACACATACACATATCTCCTAGTCTCTTAAAAGACACGTGCCCTGGAGGGTTCAGCTCTGCGGGATTCAAGCTCTCAAGATGCCAGCTCCCTGTGGTGCGCACGTTGAGCTCTTCAGTGTGCGGGAAGGCACTTAACCCCTTTGCCGGGCCATTTGAATAATGCAAAGATGACAGGCTCCATGCGGTTGCAAAAGCAATTTGTGAGCAGAAAAGCCACTCGATTCTCTTTAAGTGAAATGTCTCTGAGCTGTTTCCACCCGTCTCCCAAAAGGGCACCAGTGTACCTAGTTGTGCATGGAAGAAGGTCAAGGATTCATAAGAGACTGACCAATTAAGTGGTGTTTTTATTGCCAGAAAGCAGTTGGGAATGGTGGGAGGCGGCCGGGGTGTAGAAGCTGAGCCATACAACTGAACGAGAGAGGGGCTCCTGCTCTGCGTGTCTGGTGAGCTCCGTGGACAGTGAGAGGCTTCTTGCTGGAGGTCAGGATTTTTGCTCATATATATACAGCCCTGCGTTCCTTAGCAGTCATTCCACCAGGCAGACGCCAAGATGCATCTTCAGAAGCTGAGCAGAAACAGCCTTGGTGGTCTGTGGGAGGGCTCCGGTCCGTTTGGATGAAACAACAGCCTCTGTCTCCTCAGCATCAGCACGTCTTTCCCGCCCTTCCTCCACTGCCCCTGCCGCCTGTCGCCCCGGTCCCCGTGCGCTGCTCTGCCTGCCCTTCTAGACGGAGGCACCTGGCTCCGTCCCAAGCTCAGGCCTATCCTCCGCTCTTGACCCCGTGCTCTCACCGCGGGGGGGTGGGGGGCCTCCCCGTCTGGCGCCGCTGACCCACCGTGGACCCCCACAGCGCCCTCTCCCCCGCCTCACACGCGCACGCCATCACCCCAGCCCACCCTAGCTCCTAAGTTTTCACCCTGACAGGTGCTCCGCCTGCACCCAGGCCTCTCACGCCAGAACCCGCAGGAGCACAAGCCAGTTCCTCCTCCTCTTCCCCCACCCTCCTCCTTCTCGCCTCCTACCATCTCCACCGCAGCTGTCCTCCCCCGAGTCCTTCAGCTGCTTACTGGACGAAGCCCAGACTCTGTAGATGGCCCCCTATCGTGGACAGCCTCCCCTGAGGCCACCCACAGACGCCAGCTTCCCCTCGACCTTCAAGAACCACCTACAGCTTTCCAAACACGCCAACCCAGTTTCCCCTTCCGTTCCCAAAATGCCTCTGCCCCCTCGTCTGCCTGGTGAGCGCCTCGCTGTCTTCCCGGGGCCTAGCTCCAGCCTGCCTCGTTCCCCTGGAGGGACTCACCCCACCCCACGTCCTGCCACGTCCCCCTGCCCTGCTCCCCGCTCCCCACCCCGGCTCTCCCGGCCCCGCAATAACCTGCTAGTTCTGCCGACTCGACTCTCCTCCTCTGTAAACCCAAGCCTCCTTGAGGTCACTGACCTCTGACCTCTGCAGTTAAACCCCCACCCCCCGCCCCCGCCGCGCTTACAGTGCCCGGCACTGTGCCCCGGAGATAAGAGGTCGCTACTACTGTTAGCATCCTTCAGCAATAAAGACCTGATAATAATGACCAACCATGTTCTGAGACTTAGTTCTTCCCTCAACAAGTACCCACGGTGGGTGGGGGGGCTCCTGTAGCCCAGGCGTCTGTTTCCTGCAAAGACGAACAGCACGCCTGCCCTCCTCATCCCGGGGGGGTGGACAGGCCTCCCCACAGGTCAGCACGCTGCCGGGTGGTGAGAGCCCGCTGCCCCGGCTCGAGGGGGCCGCTTCCTGCTCAGCCCCGAGGGCCCGTTAAAGCCGTCTGCAACTGCCTGCCATCTGCTCAGCACAACCGAGACATGTTACCGTATCCGAGGTTGCAAAGGGTTTTTTCTAAAAAGCCGAGGAACTTAGATCTCAGCACTGAGAGCTTTTACGCCTCCGGTGTGTTCTCAGCCTCATTTCCTCTGTGGTTCATACAAGTCTTAGGCCAGTCATTTGGAGCAAGGAGATTCCAAGGTTTTGAAAGGTCCTGTAGCCCCACTTATCTGCTGCTTCTGGAGGGAATCCTCGTTTTACCTGAGAACCCTGTAGGTGCAGACCCACCAGGAACTGGGAGCGGAGATTCTTTTTAGTCCCGGGGTCTGTGGCAGCGTCATCGCCCGCTTCTCGCAGAGCGAGGTCGCCTCTGGTTGAGTGCGTGGACTCGCGTGGTGTGTGCGTCTTGGGCATCTGTGTGTCCCGGGCGGATGTGAGTCAGCCTCTCCTGGTGGAGCACTTGAGCTCACTGTTCTCCGGGCATCCAGGGAGGGACCCAACTCTGCAAAGGGAACGGCCGCAGCCCCGCTGGGTTGAACCTCGAAGATTCCCTGAGGCGAGTGACCGGGCACACCCGGTGGAAAGCAGGATACAGGAGACAGCGGTTCCAAAAGAAAAAGCCAATCAAGGGATTCGTTTTCTCGGTTCTTCTGGAAAACTCCCCCTTTTCCAGGGCATAGGCGCTTTCTTAAGAGGAAGAAGGCTATACTTCGGAACGAGCTGTGCAGATCTTGGAGAGGATGGGTTTGGGGGACGTGGGTGCTCTGGGCTCACAGGCTGGCATGGCATGTCCCCCTGTGCTGTAAGCAGCGTGTCCAGCAAGAGAGGCGGTGAAGCCCTGGGTCCATTCTTATATGCAAAATAGATTTATTTGCATCCAACATGAGGTTTAGGATCCGAGATGGAAAGAAAGGAAAACAGTTTTCAATCAAATGGAGAAGATCCAGGTCTTGTTGGGGCTTATGGGGTTTTATGTCCCCGACTGGGGATCGAACCCTGTCCTTGGCAGTGAGGGCAGAGTCCTAACCACTGGACTGCCGGGGAAGTAAGATTGTTCAGTAGCTGGTTTTAGGTGCTGCTGAATGAGGACTTGCTGTGTTGCCTCTAGACGCGTTCGTCAATAGTAGATACTGCGGTACCCCTCCCTCTGTCTTGGTTGAAGCCTCAGATGTGGAAGCACATGTACAGAGGGACCGTGTATCTGGAGGGACCATGTATCTGGTGTGACCGTGTATCTGGAGGGACCACGTATCTGGTGGGACTGTGTTTACAGAGAGACCGTGTATCTGGAGGGACCATGTATCTGGTGGGACCATGTATCTGGAGGGACCACGTATCTGGTGGGACCGCGTGTAGAGGGGGACTGTGTATCTGAGGGACTGTGTGTAGGGAGGGCCGACCATAGCTTACATGGGCATTCTCACCTGCCAGCGCCCAGCACCCATAACCCCAGCATCACGCAAGGGCCAACTGTTCACCCTGAAGTGGATTGCTGGGTTGTACGGTAGTCCATTTTCAGTTCATTTATTTATTTATTTATTTTTTGAGGAATGGGCAGCTGATTTGAGAGGGGTTGTGTGGGTAAGACAAGTGAATGTCTCTCTTGGGAGCAGAGAGGCAGGGACCAAGCGCAGAGGAGCAGCCACAAGCTGCTGATGAGCCTGGAGACTAACAGGCCTCCCACTTCCAAAGCGGCCGACTGCCCGCTCCACCTTCTCCCAGGTCCTGCACTCTCAGACCCGGCAGGGCCCTCTGCCGGCTCGGTCCTACCGTCGTGCCCGCATCCAGCCCACCACACAGCGTGCGGCTCTGTCTGGGAGCATCCCGCGTCCCGTCACACCTCCACCTCCTACTGCAGACGTGGCCGTCCCCCACGGGCTTGTGGGCTCTCCGGGTTGGCTCCCCACGTCCTCCTGTGCCCGCCTCAGTCCCCAGAGTTCAAGCCTTTGCGTCTGGATGCCTGCTGGCTGGCTCCTCCGTTCGGGCTCTCAGTCAGCACCTCCCGCCTCCCCTCGGCCCCCTGGCCCGTCTGGCTCGCGGCCATCCCCACTCAGCCGTCCCCCGAGGGCACAGTCTCAACTGCTGGGCATCGGGGCGTCTGCCCTTCATCTGCTACATCCGCAGTAATTCCACAGCTTAGCAGTTCAGGTAGACTTTGAACTCCCCCCCAGTCTGAGAGATTCAACCTTCTTTAAATGTGGTTTTTAATTAAATGCAGCCTGCACAGCTCTCTCCCTCGGCCTCTCTGATGGCTGAGAGTTTCCTGGGGTGAGAGCTGGTCAGGTGGGGCCCCAGGTCTCCCTGCCAGGAGCCTTTCTTCCCGGGACTACGAAGCATTTGCCTTTCTGCCTTTGAAGCTGCTCCGTGCCCACTGCTGCTGGCCTCCGCAGAAACCCTCTCGAGCCTGTGGCTCCACCTCCCAGCCACCTCTACCAGCCTGGGAGACGTTCAGTGAAGACGCTACAGTGAAGTCTCAATTAAGGAAATGCTCAGGGGAAGGAGCGTTCTAGTTAACTTAATTTTTGGTTAACTGAGTACAACCAAAGTTTTTATTGGGAGGAGGCGTCGTCATGTAAAAGAAAGATTATAAAAAAAAAAGATTATGAAAAAGCAAGATTATAAAACCCATTCTCTGCCATCTGAAGTCACGTGACTTTGGGGCTCAATTTTCCCATCCGTAAAAGGGGGATGCTAATGGCCATTGTCATAGCTTGTTGTTAGATTAACTGGGGCAACATTTGTGAATGTGAACACGTGGCAGAGTTGGGTGGCTGTTTGGGAACTTGGTGAAACACGCTTTCCTTCCCGCTTCCCATTTTGTTTTCATTTTTCTAGGAAATAATTCTTACTACACTGGCATATGGTTTTTTAAACATGTTTTTTAATGCAGAACACTGGAGGAAAAGGTAATTTTCCTGGCAGTGTTAATAGTGACTCATTATTGTAGAATATTTATGAAAAATTAACCAATCATTGAGTATCTGTGGAGTACTTATTGTATCTCAGATACTGTGGAAATAGCAGAAATGAAGAGGTCATTTTATTCTTTTAAAAGTGCCCAGAGAGTCTTCTTTGCATTTTTCTTTTAAGAATTGAATGTGGGGGGGGGAAATTGGTTGAAATGTCAGTTTGGCAGGTTAAAAATGCACATCTATGATTTCCTCTCACTTAAAAAAGGCGTAAAAGGCCCCTGGAAAGCAGACTTGGGTCCACAGGACTAGAGATGTTAGTGAATGAAAGAGGAAAAGTGTCTGGATGGAGGAATAATAACCTTGGGGCAGGGGAAGGGGGTCTCGGCTTGGGGACACCCAGGACAGACGTGGCCGCCGTGGGGCTGCTAGTGGCGCAGCTGGAAACGGGGGTCAGTTCATGGTTTGTGTCTGGAACAGTCTGCTCCCTACCTCCCACTCTGTGCAGAGCGGTCAGCTGGTACAGCAGATGGACAGGTGGACGGACAGACAGACAGGTGAGGAGCCCTCCCCCTCAGAGGGAAGGGCTCTGGAGGAAGGGGCTGTGTGCGCTGTGGTTCGAGGTCCCCTGGGAGCAGCCCTGAGCTCCCCGCCCGATTGAAGCCAGGTTGCCTGTTCACAGCCGTTGGGAGGTGTGGCGGGCTGTTCCATTTTCAGTCCCTCTTTGCTGCTCCGTTTAATCCACGGGCTCACACAGGTTTGAGGATGGGCTGACGCGTCCCAGCCCCAAGTGCAGCCGCTCACGCGACTTGTCCTGCCGACCCGACACCTGAGGGGCCTTGCGATCTTGTCGTCGTTGGGGCAGTGAGAGCCACACAAACAGAAGTCCCCATGCCGTATGGATCCCCGTTACCAACAGCTTCCTCCATCCCCCGCTGGGGGTACCAGCTATGTCCCGCTTGCCCGTCCCCAGGAGCTGTGGGCTGGGGATGGGCACTGGCCCCCATCTCCCGGGTTGGTGGGCAGTCCGGGGCCTGTCTCCGGGGACCGTCCTCCCGGGCTGGCGGGACAAGTGCTGAGCACGGGCTCGTCTCGGGCACCCGGCCAGCGGCGATTAACGCCAAATTAGCACCTTGCTCGGCGACCTCCTGGCGCCCTGCCGCTCTCCTTCACTCACACGGCCATGTGCAAATATTAGCTCCTCGGGTCGTTTCTCCTCATCAGCGCCTTTCACAGATGACAGGCAGGCTGTTCGTGTGACCGGCGTCCCCGAGCCCTCGTCCTTTGTCACGGACGTGTCTGTACGCGGAGATCTGATCACCAGCCCCACGGGCCCCGCGGTGCTGCATGTGGGGAGGGGCAGGCTGCCCGGAGCTTCCCAGGAGACCTGAGGGTCCACGAAGCAGCCTCCCGTTAGCGTAGTCGATATATAGGTTTGAAAAATGATTTGTTGGTTCTGCCTTAATGTAGTCGATATATAGGTTTAAAAATGGATTTGTTGGTTCTGCCTGCAGCAAGCTATTTTTTTTTTCTTGATTCACATGAACCTTTCATTCCAACATCTCGTACCGGTGAGTCAGTGAGAGCGGGACCCAGCACTGTGGGACTGTGACTAGAGGGCAGCCCTCTTTCCTCGTCTGCTCTCTCCACGGCCCTGACTGCACCGCCCAAGGCGGAACCGACCAGGGTGCCCCTCAGCCGCTCGCGTGGGTGGCGCGTCTATGCAGCGTCAGCTCCTCCGGGAAGCACTTTGCATTTGCCGTGATGTCCATTTATTTTTTTATGTCCAGTCTCCTCCATCTCCACCCTTTATTGAAATTCCTGTTCTCGAAATGTTTGATCAGTCTTGGTTTTCCCTGGATAAACAGTAGTAATGCGCACTGTGCGTAGTTTAATTTTGATATTACACGTATTTGAGAGAAGAGTTGCAAAACCATCTCGTGTTTTTTTTTCTCCCTTGTCACCAGAGGGATAAGCTGAATTATTTATAGCTTGATACTCACACAGCAGAGATGGAGTCAGGGTATTTACGCTTCAGATGGAAAGGACTGAACTGAGCGCTTGGTTCATGGGATGTTTGCTCTGAGGTCACATTCGGGCCCACATAAGAGTGGCCACTTCCCAACCACACACATGCCCACGAGAGGGCCTGACCCATGAAATCGTTGTGGAATTGGATGGGTTTGAAAGCAGTGGCTAGACCAGGTATCTCAATCATAAAAGTCTTTAATTGATAAATAAGGTCAGTGGTGGAACATGCAGCCATGTGAAGGCCATCATGAGCAGAGGGGCATTGAGGCCTCTCGGTTCCCAGGGCTTCTGCGCAGGACGTGGGCTCACGGGCTGTGGGCTCCAACCCCGGCTCAGTCAAAAAGAGGCCCGACCAGGACCCCAGAGAGGGCTCCTTGGGGCTGGGCCGGGTCCGGAGATGCTGGCTGTCTTGTCGGAGCGGCTCGACAAGACTCCTGTCCATGTCCCAGCCTCACGTCACATTCCCGCCTTCACCCCATCTGTGCTCCAGAAGCCGCATTCGTGGCTTCCGCTTTCTCTGCCACAGGAGACGCTGGCACGCCTGAAGCCATGGCCCCCGTCATTGTGGTCCCCCCGAGCAACAGGAGTGTGGTGGCCGGGTCCAGCGAGACCACCTTGGAGTGCATCGCCAACGCCAGGTACGCGGCTGGCCCCCCACCTGCCGGGAGTGGCTGGCTCCCCCAGCAACAGCGGACTTGGTCCCACAGCCGGGCTGTGGGCACAGCACATTATGGGCAGATCGCATGGACCTTTCCCAGGCCTTGTTCTGCAGTGTTTATATTGGATGTAACATTTATACTAGAAGTCAGCGCTGTAACTGTAGGTCAGGCAGAGTATCCTCTGAGATTTTGACTGAGGAGCAGAGGGGAGCTGAGGCCTCTGGATGCAAAGGAAAGCGTTAACCTCTTCTCCTCTGTCGTCCTAGGCGTTCTCCGCCCAGTTAGTGGCCGCCCCACACTCGAGTCCCTGGGATCAGGCCTCCCATGTAGTGTGTCCCCTAGCAGTATTTATTTTAAACATTCTTTTCCGGAGCCAATGGAACCATTAGCACTTACGGTCCATTGCTGCTGCAATTAGCTATCAGTGCTCAGCAGCCCTTGAGCAGAATGCGTCATCCGCGGGCGCCGTAGGCGAGCAGAGCTGTGTCTGGGTTGATTTTTAAGTGTCCATTGTTCAGCCCACCGTGGTTCCTGGTAGAATGATTATTATTGCCACCTACGCAATCCACAGTTACCGTCACTAACGCCCCTTGTTTCCACAGGCCCGTCGAGGAGCTGAGTGTGACCTGGAAGAGAAATGGGGTGAGGGTCACCAGTGGGCTCCACGGCTTCGGGAGGCGCCTCACCATCAGCAACCCGACCTCCTCGGACACCGGAGTGTACGTCTGTGAGGCGGCCCTGCCAGGCAGCGCTTTCGAGCCCGCCAGAGCCAAAGCCTTCCTTTCTATCATAGGTAAGGCTCAGAGTGGAAGTGGCCCCACCCCTCAGTCTGGGGAAAGTGAAGTTAACGCCTGTATTCCACTCACATGGAGGCGAAGTCTGCCTCCCAGATTCAGCCTGTTCTTCTTTCCCAAGAACATCAACGCATTCAATCCAAAGAGTTGATGTTCTGAATACTTCGGAGAAATGTTCTGAAAACTTCCAATCGTAAAGCTTGGGAAATAGAGTGTCAAAATCCTTGACATATTTATCGCCTTTGGCTACTGGTCTTTCTGCCACAAGGCTTTTCTATAACTCTTACTTGTCTGTTCTGATCAGTGTTCAGAGATTAATCTATTACCATTATTTTTTTTTACTTTTTGACCCAGAAGAAAGTCAGAAAGTCTTGAACGGTCCCTTTTGTTAAACTGAAAAGTAAGAACAGAGAGGTGTCCTAGGAGCAGGAGACACGATTAGGCGTGTTCCAGCCGCTCTAAATCCTGGGAAACGCCGGTGTTTAGGAGGTGTGTGTGATACGCCGACTGAGGGGATCTTCTGTCTGTTTTCAGGTTGTTAAGATTGCACTGTGTCACAAGACAGGGCCCGTAGTTCTCGCATGCCTTAAGCCCCTGTTAAGACCCGCAGTGGCTGCGATCGCTGTCATAGTGGCCTGTCCGGGAGTGGTGGCCGCTGCCGATGAGCGGTGACTGTGGGGTCGGCCCAGGCGGCAGGGCCCCTGCTTCTCTCTGAGGATAAGGCAGGTGAGAACAGAAAGGGAAGGCTCTCAGGAGCAGAAAGCCTCTGAGAGCAGTCGCTCCTCACATATTAATCACAGACCCTGCAGTCTGCCACTTTGCAAACTAAGAAAGAACAGAAGCCTGTGTCTTCACAAGAAATTAGGAAGCGTGTGAAGAAATGCTGCATAAAAGGCAGTTCGTGTCACGTGCCTTTCAATCATGAGGAAGTGGCTCTATGGCCCGAGAATGACCGTCAGATGCAGGTGATGGGAGCCTGTCACCGCTCTGAAAGACACTCATGGACTTTAAAGGCATCGGCAGGGCAGGTCTGAGCCACAGATCATTGCAGATTCTGCACCAGGGGGCCGGGCTGGCTCCTGCTGCCTTTCTCATCCACACTTTACAGTGGTCCAGACCACACCCCGTTGCCTGGGGAACCTTTCTCTTGGGGGTGACCTACAGCCATGTGAGCTCAGCGCGTCAGAGGTGGAGCCCAGATTAAAGCCTGTGAGTCTCCAGCAGACGGGGCTGTATTGTGTTAAAACGTTTTTTGTTGTTATTGTTGTCATTCAGTCATATGCGACTGTGACCCCGTGACTACATGCCCGGCTTCCCTGTCCTTCACTGTCTCCTGGAGTTTGCTCAAACTCACGTCCATTGAGTCGGTGATGCCATCCAACCATCTCATCCTCTGTTGTCCCCTTCTGCTCCCACCTTCAATATTTCCTGGCATCAGAGTCTTTTCTGATGAGTTGGCTCTTCGCGTCAGATGGCCAAAGTATTTAAATAAGAGAAGAAATGTATCTCCCTGTGAACTAGAACATTTGTTTCCATCGTAATTCCCTTTTAAAAATATTTAAATCGGTCTCAGGAACTTGGTTCTGCATTTCCATCTGGATTCCAGAGCAGACTGTTACTGTATTCTCCGACTTGCCACCTCTCTGTATTCCGGCTTTTAAAGGTACACAGACACACTTGCATCTTTATGACGTTGATTTAAATCCCCTTTATTCATAAGAATTTGCTGTGACAGGTGGGATTTTGTGGTTGAGTCCTGGGAAGGCCCTGAAGAGCCTCTGTTGGTTCAGAGTGTTCGGGAGAGGGCAGCCCTGAGCCCCGAGACGGTGGGGGGAGGGGTCCTGGAGGAACACGGGGCCCGGCCCCGCGGGGCCATCACGGGGGAGCCGTGCAGGCAGCCGTGCCATGAAGATGCCGATGAAAGGGAGCAGACCCAGGCTGGCTCCCCGTTGCTCTGTTTCATGCTGGTGAGACCGGACAGGCGAGCTGTGGCTGCGTTCCCCGCCTGTCAGCTCCCCCACTGGGTTGCTCTGTTTCTGAGGTTTAAACAGGAACATGGGGTCTGCCTACAGCAGTGTCACGTGCGCGACTCTCCCGGGAAAGGTGGCCTCCTGGGCTTGGCGATCCATGTTCTCCTCCACCTGCCCTGCCGCAGGGTCCTTTTTCTTTTCCGGCCATGGGACCTGGGTGCTCGCTGTCTGGGGCCTGGGTGCCCACTGTCTGGGGCCTGGGTGCCCGCTATCTTGGGGCAAGGTGTCCAGTGTGTGGGGTCAGGGTGCCCACTGTCTGGGGCCTGGGTGCCCGCTGTCTGGGGCCTGGGTGCCCGCTGTCTGGGGGCAGGGTGTCCAGTGTGTGGGGCTTGGGTGCCCGCTGTCTGGGGGCAGGGTGCCCACTCTCTGGGGCCTGGGTGCCCACTGTCTGGGGTCAGGGTGTCCAGCATGTGGGGTCAGGGTGCCCACTGTCTGGGGTCTGGGTGCCCGCTGTCTGGGGCCAGGGCGTTCAGTGTATGGGGCCAAGGCGCCTGCTGTGTGGCAGGTTGGAAGTGCTGGAGTTGACCCCCAGGAGCATGTTTGCCCAGCACCATGTGGCCTAGTGGGGAGAAGGGGGAACTTGGAGACCAGGAAGATGCATGTCCACCCCTAAAGGAGTGTTAGGCTCCTGAGGCCTGTGGCTATCTCCTCTCTCTCTCCTCAAGTAGGGGGTTTCTAAGTGTCGTCTCTGAAATTATATCAGGTCCAAAAAACACAGAGATGACACATTCTTCCTTGAAGCAGCGTCCAGCATGGCGGGAAGACCACCAGAGATGTGGGTCATCGGCCCCCAGGGCACGTGGCCGAGGTGGGGCAGGGGCGGGCCCAGCCTGCGGAGGTCAGGGAGGCTCCGCAGGAGAAGGAGCAGGAGGTCCGGCCCTGCAGATCGAGTCTGAATTTCCCAGCAAAGCGACTTGAGAACCACATTCACTGTGGAGGAACCAGGACGAGTGGGCGTCCTCTGTGTCGCTCAGGTAAGAACAGACTGCAAACTCAACAGCTTAAACTAACACAGACGTGTCGCCTCCGGGTTCCTGGCCTCCGAAGGCCACGCCCAAGGCCACGCCGGGCTGGGCTGTTGTCCGGAAGCTCTGAGAGGGTCCACCTCCCGGCGTGCTCAGGGGCTGGCAGACTCAGTTCACGAGGCTGTGGGACTGGACCTTGTTTCCTTCTGAGCTGTTGGAGGGTCATTCTTGGGTTCTCGAGCAGCCAGCATCCCTGGCCACAGCCACCTCCGGCTTCAGAGTCAGCAGCAGGCCAGATCCTTGCGCCGCAGACCTCTTACCTCCCCTCCTGCCATCCCTCCCGCTTCTAGCCGGAGAAGGTTCTCTGCTTTCAAGGGTTCCTCTATGATGAGGATGGGCCCACCCAGTGGATCTAAAGTCTCCCCATTTTTAGATTGATGACCTCAATGGTGTCGGCAGAGCCCCCCTGCCATGTGGGGAAGCATGTTCTCGAGCACCACTGACTAGGGGTGGATGCCTTTGGGGGGCGTCCTTCCCACCCCAGTGGACAGAGGCACCAGCGTGTGGACAATGATGGGGAATCAAGGGCCCACCCTAGGCTCTGCCGCTTCCTGAGACGGTGGCTCTGGGAGGTGGGGGGGGGCCGGGGGGCGCCTCGGGGCCGTGCAGTGAGTCCTGCTCAGGACGGGCCCTGCACCTCAGGCCGAGGGGTGCAGGGTGGGGAGAAGCCGAAGCCCAGCGTCAGGGGTGGGAGAGCCCAGGGTGTCCCTGCCTCCAGCTCTGAGGAGCATCTGCTGATTGGAAGGTCAGGCCCTCCGCCTGTGGCCCCTGGCAGAGGTCAAGGACCCTCTGCACGGCTGGCCTCTCCTTGACTCTCCATGTCCGCAGGACGAGAACGTTTCTCTGATGTCTTCATACTGCTTCAAAAGAGATGAAAGTTTAGTTTCAATGCCCAGTTTTACTGGCTGCGGTTGTGATCCGCTTTTAGAAGTCGAGTGTGTGCTTCCATTGGCAGGACACCCTTTCTGTAACAGAGTCGTTGCCGAGGAGCTAGGACACGCACTTGCCCTGAGAAGCCCGCGGCGGGGCCGCCTCGTTCACCGCAGACTCTCCCCGCCGGGCTCCTCAGGCTGTCTCGGGTGATGAGCCCGGTGCTCTCCCGTCTTCGGGGCCGTGCAGTGAGTCCTGCTCAGGACGGGCCCTGCACCTCAGGCAGAGGGGTGCAGGGTGGGGAGAAGCCGAAGCCCAGCGTCAGGGGTGGGAGAGCCCAGGGTGTCCCTGCCTCCAGCTCTGAGGAGCGTCTGCTGATTGGAAGGTCAGGCCCTCCGCCTGTGGCCCCTGGCAGAGGTCAAGGACCCTCTGCACGGCTGGCCTCTCCTTGACTCTTCATGTCCACAGGACGAGAACGTTTTTCTGATGTCTTCATACTGCTTCAAAAGAGATGAAAGTTTAGTTTCAATCCCCAGTTTTACTGGCTGCGGTTGTGATGCGCTTTTAGAAGTCGAGTGTGTGCCTCCATTGGCAGGACACCCTTCCTGTAACAGAGTCGTTGCCGAGGAGCTAGGACACGCACTTGCCCTGAGAAGCCCGCGGTGGGGCCGCCTCGTTCACCGCAGACTCTCCCCGCCGGGCGCCTCAGCCCGGTGCTCTCCCGTCCGCTCCACGAGCCCGGCGCTCCCCCGTCCGCTCCACGAGCCCGGCGCTCCCCCGTCCGCTCCACGAGCCCAGCGCTCTCCCTCGTGGCCGACTGGCGTAGCTGAGGGCGGAGAGGAGAGTCTTCTGAGTGCTGTGGGGTTGCTGCAGGAGGGGCGGAGAGGTGACGGGTGAGGCGGGGATGGTGGAATGGCCATCGGAAGCCATGAGGCTGTGAGGCCTTCGCAGCCCCGCGGCTGCTCTGCAAGCGCAGCCACCTGGAAGGCTTCCTGGAAAATGGCAGGAGAATCAATAAACGAGTGGGCAGACCTGGTCTCCTGGATTCCGGCGCCTGAACCCTGCCTGGGGTTTGGCAGCAGGGGACACAGTGCTCAGCCGTCTCTGGCAGGCCACCCTCCCAGACGCGCCCAGGAGGCCGTGGGGTCACAGAGCACGCAGAGCTGAGCACCAGGGAGCTGGGCAGGCGGGGATGACGGCGCTCCGAGAAGAGCAGCCCTGGCCAGGCACCTGCGGTCCCAGAGCCAGGCCTCTGGTCAGCCTGGGCCAGCCTTGGGTCACTGTGTGGGGACGGCCCCTCGTGTCTGAGCCCAGGCGGACTGCTCCCCGGCACCTGGGAAGCCCGGACACGGCAGAGGTGGGAGAGCAGCCCCAGGACATCGGTCGGGATGCCAGCCAGGGTCTGCGGTCGGCACCTCAGGCTGTCCGGTCCCTTGGATGCTGAGCATCTTACGCGTGTGGTCTCACCATCACAGTGTGACTCCTCTCGGGAGACCCTCAAGGGATGCTGAAGGAGAAAAGCCCGTTCCACACGGCCAGTACCGTGTGGTTCCACGTGTGTAACGTTCTTGAAATGACAGCAGTAAAGAGACGGAGAGCGGTTGAGGGTTACCGGAGACCCCGGGTGGGACATTGGGGTGGGCGTGGTTACAGAAGGGCAGCGTGGAGGGTGGACCCATTCTGCATCTTGACTGCGGTATGGATGCAGACCCACATGAGTTGTAACAGTGCATGGGACCAAATACATACATGTGTGCATGCACGCTGGAACGCACGGGAGAACAGGCAAGACTGGAGGGGTGGGTGTGAATACACGAGGCTGCCCGTTCCACTGTGCACATCTGGGCTGGACTGTAGTTTTGCGGGAAACCAAGTAAAGAACACGGGGCTCTTTCACTTATCACAACTTCGTGGGGCTTTCCAGGTATCTCAGTAAAATGTTTATGTTAGAAAAGGGAAACTAGTCAATCATAGCAGATGGTGATGTTTTCACTCAGTTCTTTTCCTTTCCCCTCACCTCCCCGTAACCAGACAACAAGGGGTAGATACTGACTTCGCATCCGCGATGACTCTGGGGCCTGGGCGGGGTGCAGCCGCTGGGTCGTCAGGCGGCCGTCTGTCCCTGGTGCTAGGTGGTCAGTGCCGCCGGCGTCATTACTGATGCAGGAGACGAGGTGGAGTGTGTGCATGTGCGTGTGCATGTGTGCGTAGTGAAGACCAGCCTGTTGACGGGGCATCTGCAGTATTCTTCGAGGCCTGGTCTACACACACGCAACCAGGTGGAGGATCTGCCCCCATCCAGTGAGTCTGCAGCCATGGCCTCGGCCAGACAGGCTCCTTCCAGCAAGTCATTTCTGGCTGAGCGACACAGTAATTGCAGGACTGACACCTGACCGCTTCCAGGGAGGAACTTTCAGCCTTGCTTGCTTCATCATGTCTCTGAGACACTGAAGTTTTCATTTCTCTGTTTCCTCCTTTAGGTCCCACCCTGTTTAAAGATATAGTCAGTACAGAAGGCAGGCCAAGCTATAGTATCCACAGTCACACAATTAGAGTTGGAAACAAACCTGGCTGGAAGACAGTACCCAGAGATTATCCCAAGGGAAATGAATGACCAGCCTTGGCTATCATGATAATGAAGACACTACTCCCTTAATACGTGACAAACTTGGCCATGCTAATGTTGAATTCCTGCTAAATAAACCAAGAAAAACTCTATAATTTACTCTCCAATGAAATTCATTGTTTAATACAACGCCTGCTTTTTCCGGGTGTCTAGAGAGATGCAAGTGGTTGTGTTTCCTTTGCTGCTGAAGGTGGATGAGAGGTCCATTTCCTTTCTTCTCTTAACTATGATTTTGCCTTCCACTGAAGTATTAAATCTAGATTTTGGAGAAGGACTGCTAAGACTTTGAAAAATATGTTAATAGGCTTCCCCGTTCCCTGATACAGGCAGGGCACCTGCCTGTGATGCCTTATTTGACAGGTTTCATGAGTTGTTGTTTAGTTTAGACACTGAAGCAAGCTAGCCTATAAAATACTGTGCTGTAAATATAAACCTTTATGAACCTCATGGGATAGTCCTTCTAAAATGTGAATTAAGATATTCTGTGATTCAGACCCATAAACTGAAAAGTAGTCGTCGCCCTGAAACCTTGGACTATAAATCGCCTTTGGCCCCTGCTCACTGAACTCGGAGTTTGTGTGCACGATGGTAGGTAGCTAATGAGGTTTTCAAAAACAGTTCTATAAAAGGAGTTCAAACTCTTTCAGGCCGTAAGGGTCTTCGGAAATACATCTCTGGCTTAGGGTCTGTTTCGGTTTTTTCTTGTTTAAAGAGCCACCGTATTTTACTGCGGAACCTGAGAGTCGGATATTAGCGGAAGTGGAAGAAAACGTGGACATCGTGTGTGAGGCCATGGGTGAGTGAGGGGAGCCGTGAGGGGTTTTGGGGAGCCGTGGGGGCCTTTCGGGGAGCCATGAGTGGGGAAGCCGCGGGCGGGCGCACAGAGGCTGTGGGGGAAGCCTCCACACAGTGGAGGAACAAAAGCGGCGTCTCCAGGGCAGAGCCGTTGTCTGGGTAGCGACAGGTGGACTGAGACGGTGAGAGAGCAGACGCTTCGCCTGGAGCAGAACTCAGCTGCTGGGCGTGCTGCTTGGGGAAGGCCTTCGATCCTGCTGAGCTTTCGTGTCCTCACCTGCAAAGCAGGGATAAGAATATTTACCCAAAGGAACAGCCAGGAAGCCTTAACGGCATCCGTCCCAACAGACAGAGACCAAGTCTCGTCACCTTGACTCCCTTCAGAGACTCCGACTCCCCCAGAGTGAGCCTCCCAAGGCTTGGGGCGGGAAGTTCGTTCTCATCCCCAGGGTGAGGGGGGCTGCTGACCATGTCCACTCCGAGAGGAGAGAGATCATTCTAACTTCTTGAATAGGAAACCTTCCCATTTTTCTGGCCTTTCAGCTTTTGACTGACTTTTCTTCTGTCACGGGGGTGATCTGACCTCTTGTCGCTGTGCCTTGACCCCTCCTTGCTGGCCATGAGTCCTGTTTCATGTCCAGCACACGTGTGGTCACACTAAGCCTCCAGCAGGGACAGGTTTTCTGCGGCAATTTCATAATAAAATCCGCGCAAGTGCCTTGGAGATCATCAGAGAAGGAGAAGGACCTTTTACGTTAAGACCTGTGCATCTTAAGGGTTTTAGCTCTTCTTCTAAGAACTTGGAGGCTGAGTTTTTCCCAACAGTTCTGGGAATCTTCAGGAAAGCACCCCCTTAGGCGCAGAGGCAGGAAGATGGAGGAGACCCTGTTGTAAAGTCACTGCCTGGGGTCTGGCGAGGGCGCTGCTCACGAATCCCTGGACAGGCAGCTGCCTCCCGCCGTGCAGTGGAGGCCAGATTCCAAACCCACGTCCACCAGCTCTCCGTAGCCAGTGCTTAGGCCCAGACCCCAACAGATACAATCGACCTGCAGGGAGGGAGCGGGGCTGCCCCTCAGGGTGTTGTGGAGGGTCAGGGTGGACACGGGCGTCCAGTGTCGGCCCCTGCATCCACTGAGCCTCCTGCAGAGGCGACTCCAGCCCTGGCCCCGCAGCTTCCACGGCACCACGTCCAGCCCGCTCTGCGCGCTTCTCTGTGACCGGCTCGCCCCACACGGATGGCGCTGGGAGGGGAGAGGAGAGTCCTGTGAACTTCCCGGGGAAATCTTTCCTTACTGTGGCCCCATTGTTCTCACTTCTGTCTCAACACCACTTTTTTAAGGCCAGCAACTCTGTGAAAGTGAAACTATAAAATATTTAGAGTGCTTATAGTTTAGAAACAAGAGTCTGCCACACTGTGGGGATAAGATTTCTGTTTATGACATTAAATTGCCCCCATATAGAACTATTCCTAGTTCCCTGTATACTAACAATTATTTTTCCACAAATGACAATGTTAGGCTCTCCCTTTGACAGGAAGACGCTTTTCTTGCATGATTTCTACAGAGTAAACTGCTTGTTAAGTACAGGCTTATAAATACATACTGAACAGGTCTTTCAACATTGCGTTGCCATCATATAATTTACTGCTTTCTTTTAATTTTGACAATGAAACCTTAGCAGCATGCGAAGTGGTTATTCTTTATGAAAGCTACATCATGTAATTGCTATTATGAGACTTTACATGAAGTGGTTATGCTTTTACCTTCAAATGAATTTTTTTAAATTTCCTGATTTAATGAAAAGTGACAGGAAACATAATGAAGGCAAAGAACAGAATCTGAGAATACATTATCTTGAAATATTCCACGACATTAACTTTATTTATTAAAGAGGACATCTTACACTTACACAGTATCATAAGTCAACGGATCTGAGTGTGCCTTTCAGCGTGAATTGTGTTGAGATGTTTTATTTAAATTCATTTTCTATTTAGGGAAGCTGAGGCACAGAAGGATCCAAGATCTAGAAATAAGCCAGGTGCTTCTGCATTTTTCCAACCACCACCGTACTGTGCCCACTGGAGCCCAGGACCCTGCCTCAAGTGCTTTTGTCCGTTCTGTGGACGGCCTCTTTGGTCCACCCTCTTGGGTGGCCTGACCCTTCCTGGCTTCAGGAGGAAGGAGCAGGGAAGCAGTCTTCCCTCTGCTGGTTCTCCAAGGATCTAAGGGAACCGAGGGGAGGGCCTGGTGTGTCCCGGGCAGCAAAGCCCCTAGGGGCAGTGCGTCGTCATCCGGCAGCCTGGCCGCCTGCACTCACCACACCCACGTGGGGGACGAGCAGCAGAGGTCCTTGTGCCCTTGGGCCAAGGACAGCCCCTTCGTTCACAGCCCAGGTTCTGCCCCGTGGCCTTGTCCACCGCATACACCCGCCTGGCGGGCCGCAACCTCAAGCCTCCTTGCAGGTGGCGAGACTGCGTGCAGCTGCAGTCTCACTGCTCGGGGGTCTCAGCCTCCCCTGTGACGTCACCCGGATGAGGAGGGGGCAACCTGGAGGGGCAGCTGGGCCTTGAGCCTCCGTGTGACGCTGGACCACCCCGCCCTTGGGCGTAGGCACCGGAGCACCACCCCCTGCCCCAACCCCGTCATCTCCGCACCAGCCTGGTCTCGGGGCCACGGGGATGTCTCCCGGATCCACAGCCTAGACCAGATGCGCCTCGTGCTCTTGCTCCTTGAGCTCATCCACCAGGCCCCCAGTGCATGGACCAGTGACTGATCCATGTGACTGATCAGTGCATGGATCAGGAGTGCGTGGATCAGTGACCCCGACTCCTGGGATGGGGTGCTGTCGTCCCGGGCTGTGCGGTGAGCACGCACCCTGGGCCGGGCGCCGGGAGGAGCTTATGTGTTGACGCGATTGGTCTTCACAGTCACCTTCAAGGGGGACGCCACCTCCTTCCTGAGCCCCAGGGAACTGGGGGGAGGAGGGCTTACCTGCCCTTCCCAGTGGCACAGCTTGGAGGGGGCACCGGTCTCCCACCCTGGTGACCCTTCCCCAACCCCCGCAACACAGAGGCGGGCACTGCGAGGCCAGGGGCTGCCCTCCCAGCGCTGTCTGAGGTCAGTCACAGCCGTACCCATGGGACACGGGCACGGCCAGGCCGCAGGGAGAGCTGGAAGGGCTGCAGCCCCCTCCCCGTCTTCATGGAAGATAAGAACACCCGACCGGGCGCCTGGAGGGGCGAGGAGATGCCCAGGGAAATGGCACCAGTCTACCTTGGAGTCATTTTGCCTCAGTCCTCACAAAGCAGTTCTTGAAATTTAGTCAGTTTTAAATGCCCAACTGGAGGAGGAGCCAAGATGGCGGAGGAATAGGACGGGGAGACCACTTTCTCCCCTACAAATCCATCGAAAGAACATTTGAACGCTGAGCAAATTTCACAAAACAACTTCTGATCGCTAACAGAGGACATCAGACACCCAGAAAAGCAGCCCATTGTCTTTGAAAGGAGGTAGGACAAAATATAAAAGATAAAAAGAGAGATAATAGAGTTAGGGATGGAGATCCGTCCCAGGAAGGGAGTCTTAATAGAGGAAGTTTCCAAACACCAGGAAACTGTCTCACTGGTGGATCTGGGGGAAGTTTTCAAATCTCAGAGGGCAACCTAACTGGGAGGGAAAATAAATAGAAAGAATTGTGAGTGAGAAGGTCCATCCAGTAAAGGAGAGGAGTGAGGACGAGGTCTCCGGAGGGTGATCTGGTTAGTGATGGTCATCGGGAGGACAGAGATCAAGTGTTCCCTACACCAGGTGTGAGAAAGAGCAAACCCAAAGGTTCTCCCTAAGCCGGCGCTCCTGGCTTTGTAGACCTAGAGATCAGACTCACATTTACTCACATCCGCTGTCACCTCCTGTAATCAGAGGTGGGACCCTGCATGTGACTTCTGTGCACAGAACCCTCACTGGGACCACACGTGTCATGGCCCTAAACACACCCCTGCCCCGTGGGCTCAGCCCTTGTGCTCAGCTGAGCAGCTGCTTCCCCCAGGGAATCAGGGTCAGAGCAGCTGCTCCTCTCAGTGGAGAACAAGCTAGGGGAGGAGGAAATGGTGGGGAGGCATGGAAGGAGGTGGAAACAGCCTCAGGTCCCAAGCCCAGGTGTCCCTGTCATGAGCTCCCCAGGGTCTGGATCCCTGGCTGAGATGCTCACAGATGGCTCCATGCTGACTTTCCCTCAGCTCTCAGCATCACTAACTGTGAAGGACCGACCACCTGCTCTCTAGGCCACAGAAGCACAGACCTGTCCCAGGCTGACTTCACTAACAAACTCATAGATGTTTGTTCATAGACAGGGTCGGGGTCCCAGGGAGGGTCTGCTCTGTGGTTCTAAGAAAACTTTCCCCCAGTCTCTCTGGTAGAAAACCCCTATGTTGATAAGCTTAAGCATTCTGATTGTTCGTTGGTTCATTGATAAGTAGTGCCGGACTCTTTGTGACCCTATGGACTGTAGCCCTCCAGGCTGCTCTGTCCAAGGGATTTATGAGGCAAGAAAACTGGAGTGGGTTGCTTCTTCCTCCAGGGAATCTTCCTGACCTGTGTCCACTGAGCCACATAGGAAGCCCAATCATTCTGATATGTACTCTTTTAAACCTCAAAACATATCTATATATTAGAAATAAAAAACCATTATGAAATTTACATTTCATGTGGATGTCATGTAGTCAGAGTTTCCAAAAACATTCAACTTTATCTGTTTCAGAATTTCCTGATTCAAGTCTTCCTCATGCTTTCTATGTGCTCCATCCATCTCAGCTCTGACTCACTATCTTGGGCTGCTCTAAACCCAGTTTTACCTGAAGTTAGATATACTTCTCCTCAAACTCTCAGAATGACAGTTTCCTTGGTTGGGAAGAGTTATTAACTTGAAAACTGTAACTAAGAGTACAGCGTCTGAGAATGTGATGCAGTCTATGTATTTGTCCTGATAGTGACACATGTAAACCTTCATTTGTTGGGCAATTAAAATATATCCCCTTTAAGTATCCCTGATGTTTTAATTGCTATTAAATTGAAAAACAACAAATCCAGAGTCTCTTACATAAATATTATGAAGCAGGAAAATCACCACATAATCATGGAAACTCAGCCTTATTAAAGAGAAGTATAGTAAGACTGAGAAAGTTCCAAAAAACTATAAAATAGGGAGAGAAAATAGAAAGAAACATGTAAGTATGTCTCTTTACTCCTCATGCAGCATAAATTTCATCTGTACTAGGTCGAAGGTTTACTTCCTTTGCTCAAATCAGTCTCCCCACTCCCTTGGGTTCTGTCCACACATCTGCCCCCACCAGGGGATTTGCATGTTGTTCCCCAGGGAGGACCTTCCCTTGCAAGTCTGAGATAAAAGCTCAGCTCTGGTCTTGCTCTGACTTATCACGACTCCTCAGTTCACACTTCTGAACATGTGGTTCCCGGCTCAGCTCCTGGGGCTCCTCCTGCTCTGGGTCCCAGGTGAGGATGGAGTTGGGATGAGAAGGAGGATGCAGAGAGTGGTGAGCTCTGGGGAAGCACTGCTTTTCATGTGTGTTTGTCCACATGTTAGATGCACACCTTATCCTCTGTAAAGGGCATGTGATGTTTAGCAACATGAGAATGAGGATGGCTATAGAGGGGAAAGGTATANAAAATAAAATAAAATGCCCGACTGTTTCCACTTCTCCACAGGGGTCCCTCCTCCCACCCTCCAGTGGTTCAAGGATGCCGTCTCCATCAACAAGCTCCGGAACCCTCGGTACCAACTGCTAGCTGGTGGAGGCCTACGTGTCCGGCAGCTGCGTCCAGAGGACTCGGGGATCTTCCAGTGCCTGGCCAGCAACGCGGGCGGGGAGGTCCAGACCCACACCTACCTGGACGTCACCAGTGAGTGCTGCCCCCCCCCACTCCACCCAGAGCCTGGCCCCTGGACGGCCACGAGGCCCCGGCTTTCCTGCCCTCGCCCCACAGATGCTCAGAGAACACGGATGTCTGTCCGGCCCCAGTGCCCACACCCCGGGCACTTGAACATGCTGCTCTATTGAGACGTAAAAGCAAAGTCCCCATCTTTCTGGACAGAACTGGAAAGACTAAGTGACTCATGACTAATCTTCTTTTGATCTTTTTTTACCTGTTTTCCTATATTTATTCTCTATTTTAGTTTTATTGAACAATTATAGTTCTTTCATGAGTTTCTTTTATGATCCCATTAACAGAAATACTTTGGCACTTTGAAAAATAAGATAAAGGTATTTGTGGGTTTTCTTTTTTTAATCTTCCATAGTTGAAGTATTTTTCTTCTAAAACAGGTATTGTTTAGTGATTATGGAATTCTCATGTTTGCCCTGTTTGGAAGCAAAATGCTAATGTCTCCAGGTGCAGGGGCCGTGCAGGAAATCAAATCACGGTCAGTGTGTGCATGGCCAGTGGCTCTTGGCAGCAATGCCTCGGAAGAGACTAGTGCCATATTGAGATTTTCATGTATGTGTTTTGGTAAACTAGGGGTCACTTCCTCTGACCTTGTCCAGGGTCAAATTTCCCCTCCGTTGTGGAGTCTAGGAAACAAGCATCACTTCAAGCAGTAAAAGTAATATTGGGGTCTTAAGCTGGAAACTGAGTTTTGATCTATTAGAATTACTTAGGGATTCCCAGGCAGCATTAGTGGTAAGGAATCCATCTGCCAGTGCAGGAGATGACGTAAGAGACATGGGTTTGAGCCTTGGGTTGGGAAGATCTCCTGGAGAAGGGAAGGGCAACCCACACCAGTATTCTTGCCTGGACAGAGGAGCCTGGCAGGCTATGGTCCATGGGATCTCAAAGAGTGAGACATGACTGTCTGAGTATGGAATTGCTTAAGCCTGTTCTGCAGCAGGGGGCCAGGGTATACGGGGCAGGGACTGGACAAAACCAGATGTAGCTGCTTTGAGGGAGGTGGTTTCTGTTGCCACCACTCACCCCTGCTGTCGTAACCTGAAGGCAACATGGACAGGTCAGCAGACGTGGCTGTTCTCAGGGCTCCATTTACATAAACAGGGGTGGGCTGCATTGGGCCCTGGGTGGAGGCTGCAGACCCCGCTCCCATGGGAGACCCAGGGAGGACCACCCGATTCCACCCAGTCTCAGCTCCCTCTTCAAGATGCAGCCAGCTCAGCCCAGGTCACAGGGGTCTCAGGAGGATAGTTTGGAAATTTAAATGAAAGTGCTACTTAACCTGGTTCCCATGACAACTGGAGCATGAACAAATAAATACCTGCAATGATAATGCTACGTATCTGTTTTGTAAGTACAGGGCTTTGCAAAGTGTTGTTTTTTTTTTTAGTTAAAACACTTTTCATGAAATAAAAATATAGTGTGCAAAACAATCAGTATCTTTTCCTTCACTTAACAAGCTTTTACTGGGCACCCGTGTCAGTTACTCTGGGCCCATGAGGCTCAGGGACAAAGCTAAGATTCTTTTCTGAGGTCATTATAATCTGATTATTTTAATGTTCAAAATGGATCCTAGGAAGTGTCAAAATGTCATCTCTTGGGTGATATTTAATATTCACAAATTAGATCTTTCCATTTTTTTTTTTNTCAGTATCTTTTCCTTCACTTAACAAGCTTTTACTGGGCACGCGTGTCAGTTACTCTGGGCCCATGAGGCTCAGGGACAAAGCTAAGACTCTTTTCTGAGGTCATTAGAATCTGGTTATTTTAATGTTCAAAATGGATCCTAGGAAGTGTCAAAATGTCATCTCTTGGGTGATATTTAATATTCACAAATTAGATCTTTCCATTTTTTTTTTTTAAATAATGAAAGCAGCTTGTTAGATTTATGTAAATAAATGTCTGTCTTCTCTTCAGTGTTCATCTGAAAGTTCTGTGGTTCAGTGGTAAAGAACCCACCTGCTAGTGCAGGAGACATAAGAGATGTGGGCTGGGTCGATCCCTGGGTCGGGAAGATCCCTGGAGAAGGGCATGGCTCCCCACTCCAGTATTCTTGCCTGGAGAATCCCATGGACAGAGGAGGCTGGCAGGCTGCAGTCCTCGGGGTCGTGAAAGAGTCGGATGTGCCTGAAGTGACTGAGAACGCATGCAGAAGCCTCCTGCTCTCCCCGCCGTGCGGGTGGAGGCTACAGTCAGTCCTGAAGGGTCTTCATCTTTTATCGCTGCAGCACTGTCTGCGATTAGTTCTGTAAACACCCAGGTAGATGCCTCCTCCAGGCTGGCCTGAGCATTCCCGCTTCACTGTCCATGTCCTCTGCCTAGATGTGGCCCCAGCCTTCACCCAGCTCCCAGTGGACACCACGGTGACCGACGGGATGACAGCCGTGCTCAGGTGTGAGGTGTCCGGGGCTCCCAGGCCGGCCATCGTGTGGAGGAGAGGTAGGCGGCTCGCACCTGCCTCGGGAGGTGAACTCCCCCTCACCTGTCCATTCTGTGACGAGGAAGCACTGTTGACTGAGCACCCGCCAGGGACCAGATCCTGGGGAGTCAGACAGACGAGACCCCTCGAGCTCCGCGGAGCTCACTGTGCAAAGAAGGAGCACATTTCCGTACCACATGCAGACCGCTCTTTCCTCCTCTAGGCCCTCCGTCGGTGCCTCAGGCTGGGTGGCCCCTTAAATCACGGTGCCAAGTTTCAGCCCCTTTGTGAAGGAGGGAGGTCACAGCTAGGAACACGTACTTTTGTCATTTTAAGCAAGCTGCTTCCAGCACAGGATGACCCGCGTCCTCAGCAGTTGGACGTGTGCAACACTCAGTCTGACTCTATTTCAGTTCCTGTGATGCGTGGAGTCGCGTCTCAGGCTCATCGCAGCCCCCGCCCCTGCCCGGCCCCATGTACAACGTTAGGCACCCATGCCACTAAGTGAATGGCACATGCGGTCCGTCCTTGACAAGCCCCAGCTGAACTGGGTTCATCCCCATAGATCATGCTTGGTGGACTGTATCTGGGTGAAACCTCAAAACGTACACTTTTTTCTCACCCAGACAAGCCCTTGGTGGCTTCCCAACTCTCGAAGGGCGCTCAGCTTATAGACAGAAAGATCTGGGAAGCTACCGATTAATCGGAAAGAGGGGATTCATTCATTTTAGATATTTTCTTGTTGTCTTTCCTGATTTAGAATGTAATAATAGCTTTAGACAATTTATATAAAGAAAACTCAAAATCAGCCGCTCAGAGGAAGCCATCACATTATGGATGGTAATTTCTTTAAACTTTTTACTTTGTGTTGGAGTTTAGCCAATTAACAGTGTTCTGATAGTTTCAAGTGAACGCTAAGGGCTTGGCCAAATGTGTACATGTGTCCATTCTCCCCGCAAACTCCCCTCATCCAGGCCGCCACATTAGGCTGAGCAGAGTTCCACGTGCCGTACAGTAGAAAGATAGCAGAGTGTAGGTGTCCATTCATGGATCATAATTTTTTTAACCAAGTCTCTCAGCATTGGACAGTTAGGGTGTTCTTGGCTTCGGCTAGCCTAATGAGTACTAAAGCAAACTGCTTTGGTTACTTCCATGCGTATAGTTTCCACTGTCTTCCAACTATTTCCTCATTTATCTTCCCGGCTGCGGCCAGAGCATCACGTCTCCTCGAACACGACGGTCCTCACGATCCTGTTTTCTCTGCTGTCCGCAGGAAACCACGTTCTGGCCAGCGGCTCTGTGCGGATCCCCAGGTTCATGCTCCTGGAGTCTGGGGGTCTGCAGATCGCCCCGGTCTTCATCCAGGATGCTGGCAACTACACCTGCCACGCCGCCAACTCAGAGGGCTCCCTGAATGCATCCGCCACGCTCACTGTGTGGAGTAAGGACTGCGGCCCACGTGGACCGTTCTGTTAATAATGGTCTAATCAGCACATTGTCTGCGCTTGGGGATGTCAATATGCCCTTGGACTCCCTAATCTAATCAAAGGAGAATCATTATTTTTACAACTAATTTAGAGAAATCTGTTGAGCAATTAGTTTTTTCAGCTTCTCAAAGAACAATTAGAAAATGTATTCAAAGATTTAATGGGGACATTTCAGGAGAGATAAAGGTTAACTTTTCAAAGTCAGTAGAGTAGGGGTATTATGCCAAACTAGCTCGAATAACAAAACTGAGAAGTTGGCTAATTTTATACAAATCACATGAGAAAAATGGATCAAGAATTAAAATCCCAGGGGAAGTATTTTTTCCATACTGTAATTACAATCAATTAAAACACTCCTCATATATTAAGTATGGAGGTTTCCTATGTGTAGGAGTGAACTATAACACAGGTTTCTGAAACGCAGAATAAAGTGTTTTCCAGAACCTAGGGATTGGATCACCAACTATTCAGCTTCACTGGCTGATGGACTTTTCCCTCTCTGCTTCATCCGTATCCATATCACTACAAAATTATTGTTCAAAACAGCCGGAAACAATGCTCATTAATAGATTTTGGTAAAGCCATGTATATGAAAGAAACTTTTAACTGCACAAGGGAATAATTTGTAGAAATACAATCCTTGAAGAAAAACTAAAAGAAAACAAAACACTTGTGCTTTATTTCGTGTCTGGTTTACATTTGTTTGATATAGTTGGTGTCCACTCTGATAAATGACCTTTCCTAATTTATTAGGTGTTCTAGAGATATCACTAGTTTTTTTTAAAAAAACAACCCCCCCCCCCAATATTGTTAAATATTTACTAGAAAAGAGGTTTTGTTCCGTGGGATAACCTAATCTGTCAACCAGGTCTGATTCATCCAGTGTCCCTGGAAATTAACCGTAAGTGTAAAAGCTTGTGGAAAACTGATGTCTGCATCTCTGTAGGTCATTCTCCAGAGTATTTTGTGGGTCTGCTAAGATGCAAAATTGTAATAACACGAGAATGGCGGGCACAGCCCTGCGTGGCCTGGGAGTCTTCCAAGGCAGCCCGGCTCTGTCTGTCCCAGTGGGAGCAGCAGCAGCACCCCTTTCATAGTCAGGAAAACCGAGCTCCCAGCAGCGGTGTTTCTCTGGATGCCCCACGGGCGAGCGGTCAGGCAGGGACCCGGCCTCCTGACTCCAGGTTCCCGGCTCTTTCCTGCCTCCGAGCAGCGCCTGCCTCCAGGGTGTGCGGTGTGGGGACACACGAGGCGGGGCTGTGGAGGGCGGTCAGGCCTGCACGGAGCCCCAGGTCCCCTGCGCACTGGCCCCGGGCTGTTGGGCAAGAGACCCTGCAGGGCGGAGCACCGGCTTCCCCGCCTGGCCACTGGAGAATCACAGCCCTCACAAGACTGTTGTAGGGATTAAGTAAACCCATAAATGAAAGTGCTTTGTAAAGCCACGAGGTGCAGTGTGGACCTTACCAGAATGTTGATCATCTTGGGAAAGAATCCAGATTCTTCCTCAGAGCATAGAGCCTGGTAGACACCTGCCTGTGATCTGGCTTCCCGTTTCCTTCTGGAGTGTTCCGAGGTCAGGGGATGACCTGGGGGGTGGGGGGCAGGAGGCCTGCCTGCCTCCCTGAGATGCAGACGGGCTTGCTTTCAATTCCCCGAACGTCTCTGAGCGCTTCCGTTTATACTCGTTTTGCCAATGTGAGAGGAAGCGAGGAGGTTGTGATGTCAGATGACCAGTTCGTTAGCCCCCACCCCCGCCCGAGGGAGGCAGCTCTCAGCCACGTGGTCCTGTCTGAGCTGCAGCTTGTGTCTTTGCAGACCGAACATCCATCGTGACCCCTCCGGAGGACCTCGTGGTGATCAAGGGGACCATGGCCACGCTGCGCTGCGGAGCCACCCACGACCCACGCATCTCTCTCCGGTCAGCTCCGTCAGTTACAGCGTTAGCATTCCGTGAGCTGGGGCCCTGGCATAGAGATGAGAGGGGAGAATCTTGAGAGCTTTGATTTCAGCCACACACCCCTGATTACTGCCTCTTATGGTCCCAGGCCCCCTTCATTAATCACACAGACCCCATTTTCCACTCCAGCCTTATGTATTATTTACAGTGAGCTGCGTTCCACTTCATGACTTCAATACAGTGTTTCATGATTTTCCTGCCAAGGTTAATACACTATCTGTAAAACGTGCTTGTCAGGGGCTGATACTTAATGAGAGAAAAATCCAGCAAGATCGAATGGGATTTCAGCAGTGTTTGCACTGGGGCCGGGCGGGACTCGAGGGGTCTGCTCTACTCAAGGATGGCTCCTGTGTATCAGGCAGAGAGGGGGCGCCGCGAGGGGAAAGGCCCCGCAGTGATCAACTCGCTTAGAGGAAAACACTCAGAGCGGAACCGGAGGATGTGAAGACCGATCAGGGTACGGTGACCACCTGCCCCCGCCTTTGTCTGACTCAGCCTGGGAAGGTCATGATGAAGAACCTGACCGTCCAGGTGGACACGGGGCAGCAGACTCAGGTGGCTGTAGACCACGAGCTTCTTCCCAAAGAGCCGCCACTTACAGAAGGGTTTTTAATTTTCAGAACCAGCCCTGAGCATGCATCTAGAAAGACGACATGTTCACCCTCGTGTTTCCACTCTGGCCTCAGCCCCAGAGGCGTGCAGTTAGTCCCTGACAGAATCGAGGTGTCCCTGCTTCCTCACATTCCGCTCTGAGCAGAGGGAGAAGGCGGTGGGTGCATAGACACGTCACCACCTGGATGTGGAGCCTCAGCTGTTTTCTCTGTTCTTGGGCAGAGATTGGACAAATTGAGAATTGCTGTATTTCTGTCTGCCTCTCTGGAGTTCCCCAGAGCTCAGAAATCAAGTTTGCCTTCCTTCTGAGAACGTTGAATGCAAAGCAAACACACAAAAGCCAATGAGTTAGAAGATTACCTAGAGAATTCTTGGATCCTAGAGAATTCATTCATTTCTAAAGGACTTGGGAGCGTCACCCACAAAGGACAAACAGATATTTTCTGCTGCCATAAGGCCACGAGAGAAACCCCCTCAGATCCGTGTGGTTTCCTCGTAGCTTCTTATGTGTGGTTAAACAGAGTCGGAGCTTGCTTCCTGAGAAGTGATTAGGTAGCTTACTCTGGGCACCCCCGCCTGGACACCCTGAGGGGCGCCGACCCTGAGCGCTGCTCCCAGAGTGAGCAGCGGATTCACCCCTCCCCGCAGGGTCAGTCCTGCTCTGTCTGAGGGCGGTTCCAGACAAGCCGTTTGTCGACACTGTGCTCTGCGTGCATCAAGCCTTTAAAGAAGTGGGCATGTTTTGGAAATCCAGTCCAGGATTTGGGAAAGGAAAGCCAGCACTGTGATCCCATCCAGCAGTGGCCAGTGAGGGGCCCCTGCCCACCCACAGCCCCAGGCTGAACGGGCTCCTAGAAGCGTCTACGTTTGAAAAGAAAAGCATGCTAAAGCGTCATAAGGAATGAAAAGAGAAAGACATGCAGTTTTTTGTGGGTTTTTTTTTCCATTTATTTTTATTAGTTGGAGCTAATTACTTTACAATATTGTAGTGGTTTTCGCCATACATTGACAAGGACAGAACGACTGGGTTTTAAGAAAGCATGTTGATGGGGTGTGATCGGTTTCTTCAGGAATTGGGGAATTCCGCCCCGGGGGTTTTTACGCAGCCCTGCCCCCGCCCAGCTGCACTCTGGCCTCCAGGATATTCCTCAGCGGGAGGGGCAGATGTAGTGGTGACAGGCGTGACCACAACCCCTCAGACTTCCCGTCCCGAACCCCAGGACCGAGCCGTGTCTGCCCTCGTCTTCAGTGCCCTGCTTTTAGCTTCAGCATCTGCCTCTGTGTTGTGACCGAGACCTTAGGTTGCTTTCCTTTTTTAAGGTGTAATTCACGATAGGCACCACCCTTTAAAGAGCACGGTTCAGTGGCTCTTACTATTTACTGCAATATATTCACAAGGTCGCGCTGCCAGGAGGCTCTAGTGGTAAAGAGCCCTCCGGCCAATGCAGGAGACGTAAGAGATGCGAGGTCGATCCCTGGGTCGGGAAGATTCCCCTGGAGGAGGGCGTGGCAACCCACTCCAGTATTCTTGCCTGGCGAATCCCATGGACAGAGGAGCCTGGTGGGCGACAGTCCGCGGGGTCACAAAGACCTGGACACGACTGAAGCCACGCAGCACACACACATGTTCACAAAGTCATCAATGGCTCGCTTTTTAACAGAGGGGGAAGGTCAGCGGCCGGGGTCCTCACTCAGGCCTCTCTGCTTGGCCCACAGCTACGTGTGGAAGAAGGACAACGTGGTCATCGCCCCATCCAGCAGCTCGAGGGTCGTGGTGGAGAAAGACGGGTCCCTCCTCATCAGCCAGACGTGGTCGGGCGACATCGGGGACTACACGTGTGGGGTGGTCTCCGAGGGTGGGAACGACTCCAGGACAGCGCGCCTGGAGGTGATGTGAGTACCATGCCCGCATGCGTGCCACGTCGCCACTGCTCCACACGTGGTCACACGTGCGGTGGGTCACAGCAGGGGTCAGAGGCCACCGCCTTGGGCCGCGGGCAGGCACACTCTCAGGGTTGGGGGTTTGGTGATCACCTTGGGCCTCAGACATGCACACTTACAGGGTGGGGCTCGGAAACCTTAAAGTCGGATCGTGTCCGCACTCAGCTTGGCTGGTTCACGATCACTTCTCCTCAGTGATCCCCACGACCCTGCATCCTGACGGACTGTTTACCCCGCCTTTCCACGGGATGCCCGTCAGAAGCTCCAGCCAATGAGGGACGGCAGGCCGGCCCAGCGCCCCTGAGAGCCCACTGCCTCCCACTGGGAGGCGCGCACCTCCCACCAGGACTCATGGACATGGCGAGCAACTGCCCACCCCGCCTGCGCGGCCTCCCGGGGTGGGGGGCCGTGGGGGCCACACTCGCCTCCCACAGCCCCTCTCGTCACAGGCAGGACTGAAGGGCCTGCTGACCAGGTCACCTTTGCAGCGTATATTTGTAGTTGTTCAGTCGCTAAGTCATGTCCGACTCTTTCGTGACCCTGTGGGCTGCAGCACGCCAGGCTCCTCTGTCCTCCACTGTGTCCCAGAGTGTGCTCAGATCCATGTCCACTGAGTTGGTGATGCCATTTAACCAGCTCATCCTCTGTCTCCCCCTTCTTCTCTCCCCCCTGGAGTGCAGGATGACACAGCTCTGCGTTTGAGGCCTGGCCATGTTTGGCATACCTGAGGCGCTCAGTAAAAGCACACTGGTTGGTTGAATGAATGTGTGTCGCAGGCCTCCAGTCATCCCCCCAGCCAGCCCGCTCAGGCCTCTGGCCTTCCTTTAGCTGTGCACGTGCCTGGGCCCCCCACCACTTGAGGGTGCCTGCCCTGCTCAGCCCTGGTCCTCTGTCTTCCTTCCCCCATCCACAGCTCACAGGAAGACCTTCCTAAAAATTGTTGATGATTCTGGCGTCCACGACCCATGAATCCACGTGACATGCTGTGCTATTCACGGCTAAACTACCTTTGAGAACTCTTAAATCATGCATCATTGGTACCAAATAAATAAATGTTAGCATTTCATAAAGATTCTGTCAGCAGAAGCCAAACTGCCTGCTTCCAGTGCAGTGCGTTCTTTCTAGTCTGCAGAGTTTTTATGTTTTGCTGATTTACATATCTTCCCTGCTATTCACTTATTTGATTTCCTCTAAGTAAAATGCATTTTTTTTTTTCAGCAAATGTTGCTGTATCTGTAAAATAATGGGCTTTCTGTAATGGGAAAACACCTCATCTCCAAATACAGAAATACTGCAGATTCGCAATTCAAACCAATTTAGGTGCGACTGGTTGCAGGGCTGATTTGAGAGACAGCGGTCCCTGTGAATTGTCGGTGTAATAAGCTCTCAGTTCTTCCAAATCGGAATGAATGGGGAAGGTTGTAGGTTAGAGCGCGCGTATCTTTAGATCCAATAAGGTCCTAACTCTAGGACGTCGGCGATGACAATAGTGATGATAATAGTCATAACTCAGGATTGCGGGGCATTTGAGCCTCTCAGAGAACTTGCAAATCCAGTGCGTTAACGTCTCCTGGATTCGCTCGGATGACAACAACCTCCTCCTGTTGCAGGAGTGACTGAGAGCTACTCACGGCTAAATAGTGTCCTTCAGAAGAGCCTGAAAGCGTGCTCACTGGCCTCCCCACTCGAGTTAAAAGCCACTTTGTTAAATATAGAAATTAGGAGCGTTACAAGTGGGCTTCTCAGGAGCAGGCCAGCCGCTGGCAGCTGTCCTGTGGGCTTGCTCCAGAGTTGGCGCCCTGGAGCGTCTGCGCTGTGTCAGCCTGGGTGTCGGGGGGCTCGAGGACCCTGGTGGGGCCAGAAGCACCATCACAGCAGGGCCACTGGTCCCCCCCAAGCGATGCTGCCCGGGGCCCCGCAGCGCGCATGCCGCAGCCTCTGTTTCCTCACCTGTGAGCGGGGCACAGTGTCACTTACCGTGAAGGATGGAGGTGAAGTTTGAATGGACTGGCCAGGAGTTCTGCTCAGCGGGGACAGTCAGTCCCAGCTCTTATTATTCCTCACCATCTCATAAAAAAATACTCCTCTTTACACCAACAGCACCCCCACACACACTGGGACCAAGAGGTGTCTCTCTTTCACCCTCCTTTATTTCTGCCTGAAGTCTGTGACCCTCGGACGCACCAGGCTTGTCTATCTGCCGTGGAGGCCTGGGTGCCTGAAACAGGTGGCCCATCAGTGTCTGAGGAAGGCCCGCTCCACTTGGCAGATTGAGACAGGTTTGGGTATTTGGTGCCACCGAGGAGGACTAATTTCAGAGGGGTCTGCCTCACCCCCTCCCGGGGGGAGAGGCCTCTACAATCCCAGAGGGTCTCATGACGCATCTGAGCAACTCACAGCACACAGTCTTGGTTATGCTGGTCACCATTCGTGTTAGTTGTGTCTGTCCTACCAGTTTGCTGGGGCCGTATAGGAAGAAACTGGGTCTGGGGTGACTGCAGACCCCCGAAGCTTCTTGCTGTATTGAACACCCCAGAGGGACCAGATGCCAAGGCTCTGTGGGTTGACTGTTAATCATTTAAAAACCCAATTAGCACTGCATCTTTCCTTCTGAGACCAGAGACTAATTCCTCTGAGCCAGAGTACAGAGGAAAGCCTCATTCACAGAGCGGCTGGAAGATGCGTCCCCGAGGCAGTGGGAGAGGTTTCCTTCACTAGAACCGCTTCTGAGAAAGCTGTAATACGGAGCAAACAATTTAGTGCCGTTTATCAAGAGCTGTCGGGCCCCCTCTGCCTTCATCCTCAGAATGAAGTCAGAGAAGTTGGGTTTGACCGAGGCATCGTTGGTCCGCTCAAGGGGCAGGGCTTTTCTATAGAAAAATGCTCATCGGCCCCTCTCCCTCCCAGGCAGCCCCCCGCGGGCACCGCTTCCCCATCCGCTTCCTCTCGGGTCTCTTCCCCAGCTGGTTTTTCCTGAACACACCTTGCTGCCTCGCCTCCCCACACAGGCCGGGCCCGGTTGTTGGTAATTTCTGCCGTTACCACGGCCTAGTTCCCCCAATGGCGAGGCCTCTTCAAACCGCGCAGTGGCTCAGCACGGGCTTCGGCCCCGCGTCCTCGGATCCCTTTCATTCGTCACCCCGTCCGCACATCCGTGCCGGTGAGTCACTCTGCTCATCTTTTATCTCCTTTCCGAGCTGGCAGAGACATGCCGAGCCACCCTATCCTGCTATCAGATAAGATCCTCTGAAATGGATTCAGAATATCGGAAAGCCTCATTTGTCGGCCCGGGATGGGTTAGTAGAGTATTTCACCACGCTTAATTTTCCAGATAACCGAAACTTATCATTTAAAGAAATAATGTACGTTTCCAATGTATTTTAAAGAGTTCTTTGCATTGTGAAACCGGTAATATTGAACACCAGAGATATGCTAGAGAGAATTTTCAAATGGGGAGAGCCTGGAACCAGAAAAAAAAAAAAAAAACACCTGAATTTCCTTCCGACTCGGAGTCCTGCGACGTGCGTAAAAACCTCACTTTGCACCCGCCGTGCTCCGGGGGTGACCGTGGACTCAGGCGGCAGCGGACGAGGCCTTGTTATCTCCAGCTGCGTCTCAGACAGCCACGTTCTTGGGCACCGCTGTCTCTAGAGCTCGGCCCTGGCTCTAAACGTCTCAAGGCTACTTTGCCTTTTAGGTTCCTAGTCTCCCCAGCCTTTTTAGAAGCCCCTGCTCGCCCGTCCGCCGCGGCTCGGGGCCGCATCGCTGCTGTTCGCCGTGCCCCCCTTTGCGCCGGCCCTGTGCTCTTTCCCTTGGTGGCCTCCCAGGGGCCGGGAGGCAGGCCCCCAGGCCCGCTCCCCGGGTGAGATGGATGGACCAGGGCCTTGTCCAAGCCGGCCCTAGGACCTCCTGAGCGGACGCTGGACGGGAAGCTGCCTGGAGTGACCGGCAGGCACGGAGTGGTGAGCAGCCCTCCGTCTCGACAGCGCTTCAGCGTCGGGAAGAGAGCTGTCCACTCACCTGTCAGACGGGTTGTTGCTAAGCGCACCCCGTTTAGGCTGAGAGGCATGACCTGACGCTGAGCGCAGACCCGCGCACCCCGTTTAGGCTGAGAGGCATGACCTGACGCTGAGCGCAGACCCGGGGTCTTTCTGGCTGTGAGACTGTTAGGATCAGACCCCTCGTAACCCCCGGGACAGGGTGTGCAGAGACGTGCGGGCCACCGCCAGCTCTCCTCTTGTGCAGAAGGAGCCTGCCCCTTCCCGCCGCCTCCTGTCCTGCCCATGCCTCCTCGGGGACAGGAGGGCTGCTCTGCGAGGCTAGTCCCAAGCCCGTGATGCGCCCCTCCTCCGGCTGCCGTGTCTTCCCCAGACCCCACCCACGTCAGCCCCGGCCGTCTGCCTCTGACCACTAACCAGCCTCGTCTCACGTCTGTTCTCCCTCCTGACCGTTACACAGAGCGTCCTCTGACAGTTTGTCCCCAGGACGCTTTCTAACGAGCGGCCCTCAGGGTCCCAGTTCCAGCCCCGGAAAGCCAGCGTCACACTGACAGCCAGAGATTCTGGACTCAGGCCTCTCTTGCTTGCCTCCCTCCAAGACGCAGTGCAAGCCCTACGTTCCCCCGCTGCGACCCCACGGCGCCCCGGGTCCTGCCTGTGCCCCCGGCAGCCACTCCCGCCTGGTCCTCCGCCTTCACCCCAATCCTCCCGGTCCTCGGCCCCCCCTCTCCCGCGGGGCACTGCCTCTCAGATGCAGTCCCTGTTGTGGCTCCCCAGCTGGGCGCTCTGGGCGGCCAGGGCCGGGGCCGCCTCCTGGCTGTGTCCACCCCCGGGACAGCGGGCTGGAGAGGGTTCTGTTCCTCCCTCTGCTCCAGCGGGGTCTGCGCACCGACCCTCCCCACGTCCCCCACCTGCCGCTCGGCTTCAGGCGTCGGTGACGTGGGGTGGACGAGGCTGCCCCGGCGGAGGACGGGGGCCCGTCGTCCACACGCACCCTGGCCCTGCTCCACGGGCTCCACGACATTTGTTCAGCTGAAAAGTCTGTCAATTACAGAGGGAGCCGAGGTAGGCATGATGAGTTCTGCTCGAGTCAGGGGCGGGGGTGCACAGAGTGTCCCCACAGAGGGGAGCCTGAGCTCTGGATGCTGGGCGAGTGGTGGGTTATGGGCTTGGTTGCCCCAGGCAGCGCTGTGCTCTCAGGAGAGTGCCTGGGGGTTGGGGGGGGAGGGTTGGGCAGTGCTAGCAGGGAGGGGGTGCTGCTGAGAGCAGGGGAGCGGCGTGACCCCCGGCAGAGCTCAGGGCTCCAGGCAGCCCAAGCCTCAGGACTCCAGGAGCGCTGGTGTTGTGGACAGAGTGGAGGGGCCCCTTTCCTGATTTAAAGCTCAGTTCACAATTAAAGAGAAAACAGGATGGCATTTCAGGCCTGAGTTCATCCTTCGTGGTGCTGATTTAAAGTCGCGGTCTATGTGAGAAATATTAGTTTGTTTATAAACCGCATGGGTGGGTTAGAGAGAGCTGTGTTTCTTAGGTAGCTGCAAGCACATAACAGCTTAATAAATTTCCAAGGGTAATGAGTGCATTTTTTAAATTAAAAATATCAAGTGTAATTATGGCTTTCTGTGCTGACCTGTGTGGGTCAGCAGTAATTGATGTGTAAGGGAGACTAGAGCTAGCTGGTGGGTGAAGTGGGTCACACCCAGCAACCCCTTTCCAGCCCCCGCCCCCCTCCAGCAGGAGAAGCCAGTCCTAAGGTCCAAGCAGCAGGGCCCTGCTCCAGGGCCCAAGGTGTGAAGGTTAAACACGGGCCTGGCAACTCAGGATTGCAAGGTCACAGCCCCGTCGGTGGTAGAAACCACGCGACTGGGTTTTGAAGCTTCATCATCAGTAAATCCCAATGAAGACCCGTTCTGTTCGTAACTCCTTCCCAGAATTTATCTGTGTTTCCGTTTTATAGCCTTGCTGATGGGTTGTTTACTGTTTCCACGGGTTTTCAGTTAGCGTTTTCACCACATTTGCCTTTCACTGCCTCTCCCAAATCTCCATCACCCAGCAGAGCGCAGGGCGACAGTATCACTGCGCAAGCCGTCGAGAGACGGCCACGCAGTCCAAGGATGCATATGGGCGTTTTGGCTGGTGACTCAAATAGCTGGTGTCGGAAACTTCCACAGTCGACCCTGTTTCCCCGGCCTTTTCCTCTTACGGGGCTTGCTGTGTTCCCATTAACAGCCTCTCACTGCAGAAGCAAATTGGTGACCAAGTTTTCTCAATTAAACCATCTACTGTGTGAAATGGGCACTCCCCACTCGATTTCAGTGAGAGTCATTAGTTGTTTAATCCCTACCAGAGGGATTAAATCAAATTACTTTTGGAAAATAAAACACGTTGTGAATGGTGATGGTTTTTGTTTTTTGGGGGGGCGGGGGAGGGCGGCGAGTAGTTAGTGTTTGTGTTCAGGGCCTGCTTGATGTTTTCCATTTTCAAAGCATCGCACACCGGGATCTGGCAGTGTAAGAGCCAGGAGGTTGTCACGCCATTCTGACACGTGTTTGTTTTCTCTTTCTTCCTTTGTGTCCTAGTGAGCTGCCTCATTCACCCCAGAACCTCGTGGCCACCCTGAGCCCTGCCCACAGCCACGCCGTGGTGCTCTCCTGGGTCCGGCCCTTCGACGGGAACAGCCCTGTTCTTCACTACATCGTGGAGCTGTCCGAGAACAGTGAGTAGGGACATGGCGGTGTCGCCATGGGCCACAGTCAGATTTCTTCCCGGCTCTTAACGTCTTTAGGCTTTCCTTCCGGCTCAGACCCACACCAGCCAGCGAAATGCTCCGGATGCTTCCCGGAGTTTCGAACGGAAACCGCAGCTCTGGCTTCGGGAAAACGAAAGGGCAGCGTGGGAGCCCAGGCGGGCAGCAGCAGGGATGGCCCCAGGGCCTCCCATGGGCGCCGGGGTCTGTGCTGAGGCCCTGGGCCATGCCTGCAGGGTCGCCGGGTCTGCGTGGCGTGGAGAGGACACCGCAGGAGCGGCCTCTTGCCGTCAGGATCCTGACATAGCCGACTCCTGTGGGCGTCGTCTCCTTGAAATCAGGACTGTTTCGGGCGTCTTTGTGCCCTTCATAGGCACTCACGGATGAATGGGGTCAGGCTCCCTGGTGGAGTCCCCGAGGATGAGCTTGGGTCACAGTCACCAACCCTGGGCCGTGAGGGAGGTGCCCTGTGGCGCCCGGGTTACGTAAAACAGGGCACGGCTTCAAATGCACGCCAGCTGTTCCCTCAGCAGTGTGTGTGGTTGGTTGGCTCTTTGTCAGACATCTTGCCTAAGTAAGAAGTAGGTTTTACATATAGTCATTCATTCCGTTCGTCCATGCATCTGTCCATCTGTCCAGTACTTAGGCGTCTGCTCTGCACCAGGCACTCTGCTGGGTGCTGGCTGTAGCGCTAACACGGTCAGCCCCAAGCCCTGACAGCAAGGACGTGGTCAGACGCGTCTTTGCGTCCTGCCGTGCCATGCTCGCCCATTGAGGCACCTTCATTCCAAGTGCCGTAGGGAGACAGTGGGAGGTGGTTGGACAGCGCCCCTAGCGGGTGGGCGTGGCGGGAGGCCTGGGCAGGCAGGGGCAGGGGGCAGCGTGTCCCCTCCAGGCGTTTGGAAAGAGCTTCTGAAGTGAGGACAGCTTCCGGGAGGGGCTGGGACACTGCGAAGGTGACCGAGGGCATCCGCTGCCCCCCGGCTCCCCTGCTGGGCCCACCTGAGCTGGCCATTGCCCAGACGCTTTCCCTCAGAGCCTCTAGAGGAGAGTCCGGGGTAGTCCGCACCGTCATCACGACTGCGTCAAGCATTGTTAACACAAACACCCTGAAGTGGAGAGGACCGTTCTCTCCAGCTGGCCCTGACTTCGTCTGCAGCCTGGGCCAGGTCAGTCCACGCCACTGTCAGTGGCTGAGTCACACGTCTCCCTGCCAAGCAGATAGCAAGACCGGCACTGTCATCTGGGCCAACGATCTGGGTTTTATTTTTATTAGGGAACAGCGCCCTTAAGAAGCCCCTGAACACGCTGGCTAATCACGTTCAGAAAGAGCTGCTTAGCAGCTAGTGTGCTAAAATGGAGATGGTAGTTGGCCTGTGCTGAGGGCTGTGCCAGCCGACGGTTCTAAATAACCCCATCCGACAGTCCCCACGTCCCGCTCCTCAGGGTACTGGCCGCCGCCAGCACCACCTGGCAGGCAGAGTCAGCTGTCGTCCTCCTGGAAGCCGGGGTCCTGCAGGGACCACTCTGGCATGGCTCAGTGGTGGCGGCAGGCGCTGGGTAACACCTGCCCTCTCGACGCGCCAGCGTCACCGGAGGGCCTCATCAGCGCTTTCATGGAGCAGAGCTCTGGAGCTGCCGCCGTAGTGTGTCCCGGCGCCAGCCCGAGCCAAAGCCCGTGTGTGCAGAGCGTGGCCCCTGCAGGCGTCCCGAGCTCCTCCCAGGGAGCTGCTGGTCGCTCTCTGGTCCCGGGCTTCTCTGCCAGAGGCCGGGGCCCGGAGAGAACTGCCCCGCCCAAGGCCCAGCCCGAGGGACTGAGGGGGTGAGGCCCAGTAGGGCCAGGGGAGCCCAGCAAACCCTCCACGGCAGTCCAGTGATTAAGACAGCCCTCATCGACTGCACGGGGCACAGGCTCAACCCCTGGTCAGAGACCTAAGGTCCCACAGGCTGTGTGACGCGGACAGAGGAACAGAGAGAGGGCTGGGGCTCTTGATGTCTTCACAGCAGGGACCCTGCAGACAGGCTGAGGCCTCTCTATGCAGCAGAAGGATGTGGCCCACTCTAAAGTGCTGGTTGAGTTTGATCAAGACTCATCTCTAAGATCATTGCAGTCCCAAGGGGGCAAGTGCCAGAAAAGCCTGAGGGACTTTGAGGTGGCCCCAAGGGCAGGTCACCGGGCGTCCCTCCCAGCCACCTTCAGGGCCACCTGATGCTCTAGGGGCCTGTACCTTTCATTGTTTTTGAGCTGTTTTTACAACTCTAGAGTGATCTCGCAAGTCGAGAGCTTTCTCTAGAAAGCTCGCAATGATGCAAGTAATTCTTGTCCATAGGAATGGTGTGCCCTGGTGATAAGTCATGACCGTAGTAGTTGGTTATTGCTCTGAAGCTACTGGCCAGTTTTGCCTCTATTTGTAAGTTCATTTTAGCCTTCCTGATGGTCAGCATGTGTGTATGTTGTTTGAATTCTCTTCTGATACATTGTAACATTGGTTACAATTGGTTACAATTGGTTAACATTGGTTACATTGGTTACAATGTTACTGGTTCCCTCATTAATCAATGGCAGCTAAAGTCTTTAGTCTTTGCTGGTTGCACAGGAGATGGGGGTTCCATCCCTGGGTCAGGAAGATCCCCAGGAGAAGGGAGTGGCTACCCACTCCATATACTTGCTGGGAAATCCCAAGGGTGGGAAGTCTGCTGGGCTGCAGTCCACGGGGTGGCAGAGACACCTCAAGGGCCCCAAATGTGTTTGTGCTTCCAGCAGCCTGGACGCTAGCCCCAGGCCCACTTCTGACCCGGTCTCCAGCCCTAGTCCCTTCCTGTGTAGAAGCACTCGTTGCTTAGAGAGCAGAGGCCGGGCTTATGGCATGGTTCAGGTCAGTCCAGTCGCACAGTCGTGTCCCCGGGGAGGTGGAGAAAGCCTGCCTTCACGGCGAGACCACTCACAGCTCAGCCCGCTTTCCTCCCGCACGGGTGTCTGTCTGTCTGTCAGCCTGCAGCTGCCACCCCGAGAGTATGTGTGGGCTCCTCCTCCCGCCTTGGTGTCATGAACTTCAAAGCTGATGCCTGGCTGCATGTTGTCTTCTTGCCAAAGTGGCAGAGAGATTTTGTTCTTATGCTTCAGATTATTTGCAACCATCTTTGAAACACGTGTCACACGGATGCCTTCTCACCGCCCGTGAGAGTGAGGAGGTGGCTTCATCTGAGCCCACTTTCTGCGGGTTTTGCATGTTGAACCTCACACTGACAGCACTCGCTCCCATTTTAAAATCCATCCAGACCCTCCCTATTGCATCGCCCTGTCATCGGCGCAGAGCCAGGCTGAGGCGGGGGGGCTTGGGGGCTTGTCTGCTACCCCCAGCTGAGCGCCCCTCCACTTCTGGGCCTGTCCAGGCCCCACGTCTAGCCGCTCTAGCCAGCATCTCCTCTGACACAAACGGCCTCTCCCGTTCAGGGACCACACCCTCCCCAGGACCGCGTCCCCTCGTGAGCCCACCTGGGGCATGTCCGGCGTCCAGCGTCTCCCCCAGAGCTCAGGAGGCCCAGGCCGGGGGATGCAAACATTGCCGCCACTCTGGCCATATTGCTTAGCAGGGAATTTCATTTAGTTCCCAAGTTCTCAGCTCTTTTTGTTCTTCACTTTTAAGACAAAACTTAGAACTCTAACCCTGCAGAGTTTTATTGCTTCTCTAAAACAGATGCATCAGAGAAAGCCTTCCCAAAGTGGAGGCTGTGAAACTATTGTAACTGCCTGCTCTCTGGGGTTCTGTCTGAGACAGAAAATGCTGTCCCCTCCTGCTCCTTCTCCTGGCCCAGTGACCGTCTCTGACTAGTCTCAGCCTCTGCCCAGCCTTCCTGGGGGAGTTTGGCCCATCCCTCCTGGGACACCTTGGAGACCTCAGTCTTACCCCCAGGGGTGCCGTGAGCAGGGCCGAGTCACAGCATCCGTTCAGAATTGCGCCTCAGTTCACTCACTTGAGGTATGTTTGGTGCTGTGATAGAATCACGGACGATCTCATGTCTTCTCTCAGGAGCACAGCCTCTTCTACAAATGTTATTTCTGCCAGCTCAAGCTTGAAATTCTAAAGTGGCTCTACAAATTATATTCCTCTCATTCTTTTAATCATTCTTTATCCAGAATCCTGTAGAAGGATCTCATTTAACCTTCACGGAACCAGCTATTATCTGTGCTTCTCCTTTAACGTCCGGATGAGCTGTGAATAAGCCAGGAGAGGCTGTTCCGTGGCCCAGACACGCTCACCTCTGAGTTCTCACGTCCGCCCAGAGCAGACGAGTGGCTCAGAGCGGGGATCAATTCCACAGCCCCCGTCCCAGCGGCTTCACCCTGAGGAGCTTGAGATTATGTGTTGTCTGGGCTTTGAAACTGTCTCTGTTGACACCATGACAATAATCTGAGGGCCCTTTAGCATAGAGAAGCAAATGCTATTCATCCCACCAAAGTAATTTCAATAACTCGTTGAGCTGAGCACTGAAATATAGGTCAGAGTCTCTGAAAAACTTGAAAATAATTACAGCAAGCACTTGAAAAATCATGAGGATGGTTTAGAAAACAACCGTAGTATTGACCTGTGCTCGTTTCATTTCATTTTTTTCTGCTGCTCTTTTTTTTCCAAATTTTGGAAATAAGTTTATATTACTTTTTTGAGAGATACATACACATATATTTATACATGTCTGTATACGTTTAAAAAAAACACTTACCTTTAGTATTACTCTGTGGATGTACAGTTCTCAGAGTCAATCCAGGTTTTATAGCGTATGTAATTTTGGAGATTTTGTTAAGGAAAAAACCATTCAGGGCTTCCTTGTGGTCCAGTGGTTAAGAATCAGCCTTGCAGCCCAGGGGACGTCGGTTCAAGCCCTGGTCCAGGAAGATCGATATGCTGCCGAGCAGCCGAGCCCGGGTGCTGCTTCTCCTGAAGCTGGAGCGCCACAGAGCCCCTGCTCTG